GGGAGGGCGCACCGGACGAAGGAGACGCTCCCGGTGACACAAGCTCACCTTTTCCAGGTTGTAGGTCATCTCGTAGTCCGAGTTGACGAAAAGGATGTTCTCCGGCTTGAGGTCTGTATGGGTGAGCTTGTTCTCGTGTAGAACTGGGAGGGAGAGAAAGGGTGAGAGGGAGGGAGGGAGGGAAGAAGGAAAGGAGGTGGAGGGAAAGAATGGAGGGGAAACAGAAAGATACAAAGATAGGACAGAAGAAAGGGGAGGGAGGGAGGGAGGGAGAGAGGAAGGAAGGAAGGAAGGAAGGAAGGAAGGAAGGAAGGAAGGAGAGGGGTTGATAGACACAGATGGAGATAGAGAAGGGAGGGAGGGAAGAAAGGAGAGGAAAAGAATGGAAGGAAATGGAGAGGAAAGATACGAAGATTGGTTGGATTGAAGGAAGGAAGGGAGCGAGAGAGGAAGGAAGGAAGGAAGGAAGAAGAGACGGAGGGAGTGATTGATAGACACAAAAACAGACAGATGGTGATAGGGGAAGGGAGGAAGGGAAGAAAGGCAGGAAAAGATTGATAGGGGCAGATGGATAATTTAGATTGATAGGTAGGTGGGTGGGTGGGTGGACAGATAGAGGGAGGGAAAAGAGGAAGAAAGACCCACATATTTGCATGCACCCTTCTACATTCAAAGTCACTGCCAGCTAAGGCGTCGTCAATCCTTATTCCAATTTTAAAAAAAGTTGGAATGACCCCACCCGCTCTTCTCTCAGCCTTTTTGCGCGCGTACACACACACACACACACACACACCCCTTTCCCACCCGGGACACTCACATCTGACCGCCTGGCACACTTGGTAGGCCATATGCCTGATCTGGTGGAGCGGGTAGGGCAGATAGTTGTTGTCCTTCAGGAAGTCGAAGGTGCTGAGCCCCAGGAGCTCAAAAGAAATGCACATGTGGCCGTGATAGTCGAACCAGTCGTACATCTGGACGCAGAGGCTGAAGGGGGAAACCGAGGCGAGGAGGAGGAGGAGGAGGAGGCGGAGGCGGTGGAGGAGGAGGGGGAGGGGGAGGAGGAGGGGGGGGGGGGGGGGGGGGAGGAGGAGGAGGAGGAGGAGGAGGAGGAGGAGGAACGGTGGGGAAAGAGGAAAATGGGCTTTTTAAGAAGCAACCGGCACCGGGAAAAGGCAGGTCAGGTTGGACTGAAACATGGAACACGGCTGAGGGGAAATATCGTCAATGAAGGGTTTGATGCTGCTTCCTGGCCCCGACAGATCCATTTGGGGGCTATTCTGCTGTTTTTCCAAACTGCCTTTCTTTAAAAAAAAAAGAAGCAGCAATGACCACAGCCAATAAAAACAGGGAAGGGGCGAAAGCGATCCGTCCGTAAGGACTCTGAACATGGCAACAGGGGTTGCAGAGGATCTATGGACGTCACAAACGGCACCGTCTCCAGCAGAGGCCCCTGGGTGCCAAGCTGAGTTTCTGCCACAGGAAACCAACCATCCGTTGCAAGTTGGCACCAAAGGCCAGGCATTCCTCCCCCGGACCCGATCCCCGGGGCCCCAAAATGTACCAAAAATACAGAGCCTCTTTCTCACCCAGGAGGGGGGTGGGGGCCTAAATCCAACTTACTTTTGGTTGCTGGGATCTTTCTCGTTAATTTTCTCCAGCACGTTGATCTCCAAACGAGCGGCTTCTTTGTATTTCTCGACATTCTTGATGATTTTGAGAGCCACCCGGGTGTTGCCCCTGAAAAACGAAGAGGGGGGGTGGGGGTGGGGGAGAAACCGTGGAGGAGGAGGTGGGGAATGGGATTGAGGTCCCGGGAAAGCAAACCAGGGCGGTCAGACGGACCCAACCCTGCTTGTAAAATGCACTTCTCTGCTCTGCTCTGGTGTAATAAAAGCCAAAAAAAAAAAAAAAGCACATTGATGCTCAACCGTAGTTTGCTTGTCTTCAGGTGCTAGCTGGCTGGGGAATTCTGGGAGTTGAAGTCCAGGCCTCTTAAAGTTGCTCAGGTTTGAGAAACACTGGATCGATCTATCTATCTATCTATCTATCTATCTATCTATCTATCTATCTATCTATCTCTATCTATTATCTATCTCTATCTATTATCTATCTATCTATCTATCTACCTCTATCTATTATCTATCTATCTATCTATCTATCTATCTATCTATCTCTGTCTGTCTGTCTGTCTGTCATCTATCTATCATCTAATTCTATCTATCTATCTATATCTATTATCTATATCTATCTACCTACCTACCTACCTACCTACCTACCTATCATGTCATCTTCCTCCCTCCCATCTTCTATCTACCGGTATCTACCTATCTACCTATCCATCCATCCATCCATCCAATCATCATCCATCCCCAATCTGACTTTTGTCTGTTATCTCTTATTTATATCTACTTCTTTATCATCTATTTCTGTATCTATTATCTATCAATCACCTATCACCTATCTCTACCTATCATATAAAATCTGTATCTACTTATCCATCTAACCTACCTAACCTATCATCTATCATTATCTATCTATCTATCTATCTATCTATCTATCTATTCATTCCATCCAATCAATATTTATCTATCCTTATCTTCCCTCTTCCTCTTCCTCTTCCTCTCCCTCTCCATCCATCCATCCATCATCCATCCATCCTAGAAACACTTTCTAGGCGGACCATGGATCGATGGGGGCCACCCAGCCTACGAGGAAAATCTGCACCCAGTTGGACTTCCATCCCAGATGGAGGGAAGCACCCTTTCCCCAGAGTCCATTTCCCATCAGCCCCAGCCGGTTGTCGCCTCACCTGCGGTGATCGATGCACTGCACCACGCGGCCAAAGGTGCCTTCCCCGAGGGTGGTAATGATCTCGTCTGCAGAGGAAAAGGAGACAGGAGGTACGGGGGGGCAGGGGAGGGGAGAAAGAGGAGAGGGTGAGACGCGGGGGAGGGCCAGCACCTGGCAGCCAAACAACAAAACATCACCACCAAAATAAATAAAAAAATAAAAAAAGGAGGCTATCTCACCCCCTTTCAAGGGACCGGTGCCTCCTCCCCTAAACACTTCCATATATCAATACAGAAAGAGATAAAAATGGGGGAGAGGGAAGGAGGGAAGGAGGCAAAAAGGAAGGGAGGAAGGATGCTTAAAAGGAAAAGAAAAAAAGAAGGAAGGGGGGAGGAAAAAAAAGACTGCGGTAAAAACACACACAAAAAAAAGGGCACTGCAAAGAGGGAGGACAAAAAAAAAAAAAGGACGAGGAAAAGGGAGAAAGCTAAGAACAATCCGGTCACTGCGGCGGGAGCTTAACTAGAGACGGAATTTTTACGATTTGCGCAGTTACATCTCTCTTGGAGACAGTCGCCGACGCGGTAGATGAGGTGGCCCTCCACATCGTCCTCCACGTTCTTGGCTCTCCTCCTGCTGCTGGGACGACTCTGCTGCCGGGGAGGCCCCCCCAAAAAACGCAGCGGTGGCGGCGGTGGTGGTGGTGGTGGCGGGGCAGGCAGGCGGAGAGGGAGAGGGTTCAATTCATTCATTCATTGCGTTCACCCCAGGCGGCGGCGAAGGGGGGAAGCCAGCCAAGCGACGCCCGTGGACACGGTTGGGCCCGAGGCGGATATTGGAGGTGGTGGCGGGACGAATTCCGGGCCAAGTTCGTAACGGCACAGAGGCGTAGAGGTATAAACACACAACACACGTGAACAATAAGAGGGGTGGCAAGAGGGGGAAAGCAACGCTCAACACACACACACACACACACACATGCACACACACGCTGGCTCGGGGGATGTGTGTGTCTTCGCAGGTGGTCCTTGACTTACGACCGCAAGGGAGGGGGGCCCTCCCCTCCCCAAATTGTGTTTCCTCCCGTTTTACGACCTTCCTTCCCGCCCTTGTTAACCTGCAGTCGTTAAGTGAATCTGGCTTTCTGCCAATGGATTTGTTGGCCCGGTAGGAAGGTCGTTAAAAAAAGGGGATGACGTGACCCCGGGGAGGCTGCGCCTGTCGTTAAGTGCGAGCCGGTGGCCGAGCGTCCGATATAAACCGTGTGGCTGGAGGGGGGAAGGTGGCAGAACGCTTCGACGGGCGTTTAAGTGTGGGAAAGCGGTCTCGAGTCCCCCCCCTTTTTTTTCCGGGGCAGTTGTGACTTTTGAATGGTCGCTAAATAAACGGCTGTAAGTCGAGGACTGCCTGTATATTTAAAAAAAAAAAAACAGGAACCATCCATCGAAATTAGGGAAAGCATCTTCTGCAGACGGGGTGCCTGCCCCCCCGAGAAGAGGACCCCACCAAGGGCCACAATTCAAGTAAAGGTTGGTGATTGAATGACAGAGAAAGCCGTATTTTCTTCCCTCACCGCCCGCAATTTAAAGAGAATTCAGCAATTTATTCACACCAACCGGGCGACAAAACCTGGGTTTTCTGTACAGAAAATCAGGGAGCAGAGAGAATAATAATAATAATAATAATAATAGATAATAGTCATCATCCCGCCCTGTTGCTTCTAGGTGGGGGGACAGGCAAGCCGGCCCTGAAACATTCTGGCTCCCCGATATCAGAAAGCCGTCCCTGGGAAAGGAAGAGGAAGTGGGCTGGGCGTGTCGGTCGACCCTCACCATCCATGGGTGGGGTTGGGAGAGGTCCTGTCACGGCTTGGCGGTTTCCCCACTTCAAATGCCCAAAATGCTTTGCCTGCCAAAGGCCAGACCTGCTGTGGAGGTCATCCATTCTGACCCCTTGCCAAGGCAAAGGTGCCAACGAAGCAGGACGCAGGCGAAGCGCAAATGAAGGAGCGCCGGGGGCTTTCCTTGGGGCAAGAATGGGAAAAGGACCAACCCCCCCCCGCCCCCCGATCGTGTGCCATCCTCTTCTCGAGGCAGGGTCATCCTTTTCAAGGTTTCTAGTCCCCATGAAGGAGCGCTCTTCTCATCCTGGGCGGGGTCTGAATACTTGCTATGTGTACAGGCAAAAGACAGGCTCTAGCACATCCACACACACCAGGGTAGGTTGTGTGTGTGGGGGTGTGTGGAGGGGGGAGGGGAATTCAAAGATTTCGAAGAGGCCAAAGCGTCTTCGCCCTGTACCGGTGATTCTGCCCGCTGGGCCGAACGAGGTGTTTGAAACTTTCAGCTTGCCAGACTGTTTTGGAAGGCAGAGAAGTTGATGAAATGAATAGATGGGATCAACTATCATCCAATGCTCAGAAATGATCTCTCTAGCCATCCACCCTGCCCGATTTATACGGCTGTCGAACCGACGATAAAAGAACAATACAAGAAAACGTGACAGTCATCGGATCCAACCTGACTCACCCGAGACAGTGGAACGGGGCTAGCGCATAAATGTCATCCTAAATAAGTTTAATGAATTGGCCCAAAACACCAGGGGGAAAAGCACCAGGGTGGGTGTTTTTTTAAAAAAAATGCTTTTGAAAAGGTTAATGGGGTTGCGGAAGGGGGGCAGCTTTATTTACAAAGATAAAAATTCAAAAATTTATTTACAAAGAGCAGTTTAATAAATTAAATCAATTTAATTTAATGAATGAAAAATGTATTTATTTATTAAAAAAAATATTTACAAAGAGCAGGGGGCAACCGCTGAAAAGACTCCGATCGGAAGCGTTTTACTTTGAAATGCTTCACAATAAATAAATACAATATTCTGCGTTGTATGAAGGTTTTTAAAAAGCCTCTTCTCCTAGTATTGTGCAGCAGAAACTTTAGAGAAGGACATTCTTTAAAAACCACATTTTTACACACACACACACTCTTTCCCCAAACTTCCAGTACTGCCAGTCCCAGAAAGAAATGTCAATTGTCAAGCAACTCAAAAGAGGCGGGAATGTTCCCTGGGACAACCCAGAATGCCGTTCCTAGCGCCATTCCGGAGACCTGGAGAAGCCGCAGAGATTCTGGCACCGCCTGGATCAAAGGATCGGAAGAGGCAGGGATTTACTCACCGAGGAGGAACGGCTGAAGGAGCGGCTTCCGTGCCGTCTCCGTCGCCGTTTCCGCCGGTTGCTCTTGCAGTTCCGGTAACTGCCATCCCGGGAACGCTGGTACTCATCCGAAGGGTGGTATTCGGGCTCGTAGTAGGCATCGCCGCCCCGGTCGCTGTAGCCGTCTCGCCGGTAATCCTCCAGGTATCGCCGGTCGTAGGCACGTCGGTCGGACGAGCGATCGTCGTAACTGGGAGGAGGAGCGAAATTAAGGTGATCCAGAAAAACCATGGATGACTATGTTGTTCCTTGTTTAATGGCCCCATAATCCTTTTGCGGGGTGGAGTCTGGGCAACTGAATGGAGAGGGGTGTTTTGATTGGCTGGATGCCCTTCCTGTTGCCGATGCGGAGTTTTGTTCAGCAGATATATATTCTCATCATGCTTAGTGAGAGAAACATCTGCCTCTACCTAGGATTGAACTCACAGCCTCCTGATTGTGATGTGAGAGCTACACCTCTAGGCCAACTCACCACTCATCCAGAAAACAGACTGAACATCGGAAGTGATGAACAATTGGGCTTAACAATTAACAATGAGGCTCAAACGGTCGTAAAATGAGGCACGGCTCACTTAACAACCATCTTGCTCAGGAAGGGAGATTCTGGTCACAATCCTGGTTGAGGACTCCCCATAGAACAGTTCGTATAGTGTCCGCCTAAAGTTACAGCAGCACTGGAAAGTGACTTTACGGCTGTTTTTCACACTTACAACTATTACAGCACCCCCCTGGTGATCAAAATTTGGACGCTTAGCAACTGACTCATACTTACGACGGTTGCAGTGTCCCCAGGTCATGCGATCCTTTGGGCAAACTTTTGACCAAGCACAGTCTACGGGGAAGCCAGATTCACTTAAGGACCGCATGGCTAACTTTAACTGCAGTGATTCGCGTAATAAACTGCGGCAGAAAGGTTGTAAAATGAGGCAAACTCCGCTCAGCCACTCAGCCGCGGAAGTTCTGCTTCTCCTCCTCGCAGGGTCCATTTTGGGGACCCGCTCCACTCACCTCCGGGACCGGACGTGATAGCTGTCCTCTCTGTGACGCCACCGCTCACTGCTACTCGAGTGGGAACGGCTCCGTCGGCGCTTGTGCTTACGGCTGCGGTAACACTCGCGGTAGCTGCCCCGGCTGCTACGTTCCGAAGACAGAAACCTCCGAGAACGAGGCATCTGCAAGGCGAGGGGAAAAAAAAGAGTCAAAAGGTCCAGCTGGAGTGGCTGACCCTTAAAAGGGGGTAAGCGCCCCCCCCCTTTTTTTTTTCCTCCACCATTGCTAGCTTTGAGACGGTCGCTAAGCGGGATGGTTGTAAGTCGAGGACTACCTGTCATTTGGTATCGAAAGAAGCGGCCCGTCTCGCCCGCTGAGCCCAAATCTCGAACCAGCCTCCCCCACTCTCCAAATCCCGTGTCCTGCTCAGGTGTGATCTCCTTGTGGCCTCCTTTCCTTTCCCCCCAAAGGCCAAAGAAAAGCAAACTGCTCGCTCCAACAGAGATCTAATCTAGACAGATCCTTCCTTTTCCTCGGCTTTATTCCTTTTTCTTTATTCATATGTAGAATTTGTTCTTTTTTTTAAAAAAAAAAGCCTTCGTTTTTAACGCCATGGGCCAGGGACGGCCTACCTGGCAGGGCTGTTGTGCACCAATCGCCCCCGGGAGGAATCTTATTCGGGTTTTTGAGGCTGGGTCGGGATGGAGGCCTCCCCGGCTCCTCCGACGGCCTCTTCCCGGGCCTGGTTCGGGGTCCCGGAGAGCCGCCGGCGCCGCGGCCCCGAGGCCTCCCCCACCCAGCCCCGCCGCCTCGCCTCACCCTCTTGGCCGTCAGCCCGGTGCGCTTGTCCCACAGGAAGTCCGTCTTGGCGGCGGCTGGTCCTTTTCCCGCCCGCCCGTCGTCGTCGCTTCGCCTCAGCGTCCCCGCCGCCGCCCGGGGTCGCTCTGAGGAAAAGGGGCTGAGGGGAAACGGGAGGGGAGAAGCCTACCGCGCATGCGCCGCCGCCACGCACGGAAGGCGTAGGCGCGTCACAAAGCCGCCGGAACGTCCCCTTGCGCATCGGAGATCGTCAACCCTCAGACAGGACGGTCCCGTGGGGATGCACTTCCACCGGCAGTTTCCGGGTGCGCTTCGCAAAAAACGTCTCCACGCCTCCAACTTTGGTTGTTGTTTTAATGTTTTATTTGTAATTATCCTTTAACAGCCATACATATTTTGTGGACAAGGTATGGACTGGCTCAATATACTTTTTGCACAATGCTAACAAAAACAAATACATATGGTCATAGTCTTCCAGCTTCTAATCTTAACATGAATACAATAGAATAGGAATAGAATACAATAGAGTTGGAATAGAATAAGAAATAGAATAGAATAGGAATATAGAATAAAGGAAGAATAGAATAGAAAATGAATAGAGTAGAATAGAAAATGAATAGAAGAAAAAGTAGAATAGACTGGAACAGACTAGAACAGAATATTGGAATAGAATAGAATAAGGAATAGAATAGGAATAGAATAAAGGAAGAATAGAATAGAATAAATAGAATGGAAAATGAATAGAATAAAAAATAATACAAGAAAGAATAGAATAGAACAGAACAGAATTTTACAATAGAATAGAGTAAGGAATAGAATAGGAATAGAATAAAGGAAGAATAGAATAGAATAAGAATAGAATAGAATAAGAATAGAATAAAGGAAGAATAGAATAGAAGAACAGAAAAGAATAAAAAAGAATGGAAGGATAGAATAGAACAGAATATTAGAATAGAATAGAATAAGAAATAGAATAAGCAATAGAATAGGAATAGAATAAAGAAAGAATAGAAAAATAGAAGAGAAAAGAAAATGAACAGAATAGAATAGAAAATAAATAGAAGAATAGAATAGAATAAATAGAATACTAAATTAAATATTCTGTTAAAAACTTGGATTGGGCTCCTTATATTTTGCCCACGTCCTTTAGGGATCTTGCTCTTGAAAGCTAATATATAAATTTTACGAAAAAATTCAGAACGACAACGAAAACTAAATCCCTCGTCTTATTTTATTTTCTCTATATAGAGATAAGCAAACGGAGCTCAAACACGCGTGCGCAGTAGAGACAAGACCTCTGCCTCCGCATCCTCGCTAGCGATTGAATGGAGGGGCGGGGAAAATTCACCGCCACGCCCTCCCGAGCCACGCCCCTTCCCAGGTACCACGTTCCACGTGGAGGGAAAAACATATATTAACAAAAGCAACTTTCCCACGCGTGGAAAGTAATACAATTAATAACTCCTGCGGGACTAATTCTTATTTCCATAAAAATATTGCTATTGCTTATTCATTTATGTAAGTTTTATAAATTAAATCAATGCATTTGTATAAATGTGATAAATAATAAAGCAAATAGGTAGTCGTTACTTGTTAGAATAAGATTATTATATTATAAATTATATTATTATTATAAGTGCAATATTAATGCAATATCAGGGGTTTTCAATTCAATGTATAGAATGTGAAGGATGTGTGTTTGTGTTTATTTTCATAGTTCATAATGTACACTGAAGATGGTATTTAATTTTGCCACCTTCAGGTCTGGGATCATAATAAAAGATCTATTGATTGTGCCTCAACATTAAGAAAACTAAGATCCTGGCATCCAGCCCTCTCAATTCCCGGCAAATAGATGGGGGGGGGGGGGAAATAGAGGTAGTAACAAATTTTATTTTCCTGGGCTCCACTGCAGGTGGGGACTACAGCCAAGAAATTAAAAGACGCTTGCTCCTGGGGAGGAAAGCTATGGCAAATCTAGACAGCATACTAAAAAGCAGAGACATCATCCCCCTACCAACAAAAGGGTGTAGAGTCAAGGCTGTGGTTTTCCCAGTTGCAACGTATGGCTGTGAAAGTTGGACCATTAAGGAAGGCTTGAGCGCCAAAGAATGGAGGTCTTTGAACTCTGGTGTTGGAAGAGACACCAGCGAGTCCCTTGGACTGCATCAGAAAAATAGTGGGCCCCACAGGAATGTTCAATGCTCGTTGTGGGCACCCTCACAAAATGGTGTCCAAGGTGGGCATGACCAGAGCAGAGCATACCAGAAAGGCTAAGCTGTAAAGATGCCTTTTTTTTAATTATCTAAACAGGCTTCTGGGTTTGGCGCTTTGCTCTTCTGCCAGTTACGGCGCCTATACTTTTGGTGTTGATTCATTAAAGAGGATTTGAAGGCATTAAATAAGAATTGGCCACGGTGTTGGCTAATGCTCCGTGACCCCTAGACACAGCCAGGATTTAAAATAATCCATCCACAGACAGACAACTCTTGAAAGGGATCCAGAAAAACGACACCGAAGAGACTATTCCTGTGATGTCTTATGAAATGTTTATTTTTAAGCTTGCGACACTTTGCCTGCAGGAGGGGAAAAAATAAATAAATGAGGTGATCATCTGTACAATAAGTAACATGTTTAGTTTGGGCAAAAATAGCAATTGGAACAACAGCAGCCAAAATTGTAACAGTAGAACAGAACTGTTTAGAGGAATAGCCACAAATATTCAGGGTAGGTTTGTAAATGTGTGGTTACATTGATTTTTTTCCCCCGTTTGTGTGTCCATAAAAGCCTCTTCTTCTACAGGGTCACTAAATTTCCGCTGACCAGAAGAAATGCGTGGAGGTGGCTGCCATTATAGATGACCAAAATTAAAGAAGATTACACAAAATTTAATAACTCCTCCTTCCTTAAGAAGTATCATTGCCACCTTCACAAACCTGTCCTAACACATGTCACTCAACATATTTAATTATCATCGGCTGGATTTACAGAACAGGTTATGCTATAAATATGCCATTTGCAGAACGATTGGGTCCTTAGGCTGGAAGGTCACTTCAAACCAATTCCAAGCTGACTTTAAGGTTGGAGGTGTTTCTTTCCAAAAGAATAGAATTAGAATTAGAATAGAATAGAATAGAATAGAATAGAATAGAATAGAATAGAATAGAAAATAGAATAGAGTAGAATTAGAATAGAATAGAATTAGAATAGAATTAGAATAGAATAGAAAATAGAATAGAGTAGAAAATAGAATATAATTAGAATAGAATAGAATTAGAATAGAATAGAATAGAATAGAATTCAGAATAGAATAGAATAGAATAGAATAGAATAGAATAGAATAGAATTCTTTATTGGCCAAGTGTGATTGGAGACACAAGGAATTTGTCTTTGGTGCAGATGCTCTCAGTGTACATAAAAGAAAAGAGACATTCATCAAGAGTCAAGAATCATAATGAACAACACTTAATAGTCATAGGGTACGATAAGGATAGAATAGAATAGAAGGATATAGGAATAGAATTTAAATAGAATGGGATGGGATGGGATGGGATGGAATAGAACAGAAATAGAAATTAGAATAGAATAGAATAGAATCGAACAGAATAGAATATGGAATGGAATGGAATGGAATAGAATAAGGAACAGAATAGAATAGAATAAGGAACAGAATAGAATAGAATAAGGAATAGAATGGAATGGAATAAGAATAGAATAGAATAGAATAGAATAGAATAGAATAGAATAGAATAGAATAGAATAGAATAGAATAGAATAGAATTCTTTATTGGCCAACTGTGATAGGACACACAAGGAATTTGTCTTGGTGCAAATGCTCTCAGTGTACATAAAAGGAAAGATTTGTGTGTTTTCCAGTGTTGCCAGGTTCTTAACGCTGATCCTCTGCTGCCTGACATGAGTGAGGAAGTAGCGGGAAAGGAAGGAAAAAGGAATGGAAGAAGGGATAGGAGTGAGGAAGTAGAGGGGAAGG